ACACACACACGTGTGCAAGGGCTGCCAGGTGGGCAGGGGCACGGGTGTCACACGTGTGTACATGAGCTGCTGTAGGGGCACAGACACACACGTGTGCAAGGGCTGCCAGGTGTGCAGGGACACCTGTGGGCAGCAGGTGCCACCAACGCCAGCACACGCGTGTGCAAGAAGTCTCCCGTGTGCACGGGCACGCGTGTGCAAGAGCTGCTCGTGGGCACAGACACGCGTGGGCAGGAGCTGCCCGGTGGTCACACGCGTGGGTGAGAGCTGCCCCGTGGGATCTCCCCGTGCCCGGGCCCCGCGGGGCGTGCCCGGTACCGGTGGGTGCCGATCCCGGTGCCGGTGCCGATCCCGGTGCCGGCGGGGGCAAGCGGCGCTGCCGGTGCCGGTACCGGTGGGTGCCAGCTTGGGGGGGTTTGGCAGGGAGCCGGACTGGGTCGGAGCCGCCGGTGCCAGGGGCGGCGCCGGTGGATGCCAGGCGTGTCGGTCGGTGCCGGTGCCAGGGATGCCGTTGCCGGGGATGCCGATCCCACGTGCCCGGGCAGTGGCGGTCCCGGTGCCGGTGGATAGTCACGGTACCGGGTCGTGTCGGACTGGGAGAGGTACCGGGGAGTTGCCAGGGATACCGGTGCCGGTGGGTGTTGGCGGTACCGGGGGCGCCGGACCGGGGCGTGGCTGCCGCTGCCGGTCCCGATGCCGGTGGGGAGTTACCGGTCTCGGTGCCGGTCCCGATGCCGGCGCCGGTGCCGGTGGGTGCCGGTGCCGCCCGCCAAGGGTTAATGGCAGTCGGTGAAGTTGCCGGGCGGCGGCGCGGCGGGATTGGCCCGAAGTTCTCGGGGCGGGCCGGGCCGTGCCGAGCCCCGCCGGGCCGCCCCGCCCGCGGCCCCCGCCGCCCCCCGCCGCCGGCGGAGCCATGCGCCCCGCGCCGCTGCTCGGGCTCCTGCTCTGGGCGCCGCTGCTCTGGGCGCCGCCGGTGCGCGGCTTCCGCCACGGCGTCCACTGGAACGGCAGCAACCCCAGGTACCGCCGCCGCCCCCGCCGGCCCCGCCGCCTTTGTACGCCCCGGGCCCCGCCGAGCCCCGGGCCCCGCCGAGCCCCGGGCCCGCGCCGCCGCCGCGGGACGGGACGGGAGGACCGGCGGGCGGTGGGATTCGGGGGGGGGCGGGGCTGCTGGCCACCGGGCCACCGGGCTCCCGTGGGTGAGACTGAGCCGGGGAGCACCTCCCGGTGGGACCGGGCATCCCCGGCAGCAGCGAGCGCCCAGGTAATGCTGAGCTGGCGAGCGGCCCCCGGTGCGCCGAGCCCCCGGGCATCCCCACCGGCGCCGAGCCCCGGGTGGTACCTCCGGTGGTACCGAGAACCAGTGGTACCGAGCCCCGGTGGTACTGAGCCCCGGTGGTACCTCCGGTGGTACCTCCAGTGCTACCGAGCCCCGGTGGTACCCAGTCCCGGTGGTACCGAGCCCCGGTGGTACCTCCGGTGGTACTGAGCCCCGGTGGTACCGAGAACCAGTGGTACCGAGCCCCGGTGGTACCCAGTCCCGGTGGTACCAAGCCCTGGTGGTACCTCCGGTGGTACTGAGCCCCGGTGGTACCAAACCCCGGTGGTACCAAGCCCTGGTGGTACCTCCGGTGGTACTGGGCCCCGGTGGTACCGAGCCCCGGTGGTACCAGGCCCCGATGGTACCCAGCCCCGGTGGTACCGAGCCACCGGGCAGCCCCGGGCGCTGTGCAGCGGGTGAGAACCCCCGGGGGTGCTGAGCTCCGAGCAGCACCGGGCACCTCCGGTGGTACCGAGCCCTGGGCAGGACAGAGCCGGTGAGTGCCCCAGCCGGTACCGACCCCCGGGTGCCCATGGGGGGCACTGAGCCCCGAGCACTGCCGGTGACACCGAGCCACTGGGCATCCCTGGGTGCCACCGGGACAGCAAGCACACCGGGGTGGTGCTTAGCCCCCGGCACTGCTGGTGGCACCGAGCCCCAGGTGGCATCCAGCTTGGCTGGCATCAGCTCGTGAGTCTCCCTCAGTAGCACCAAGCTCTGGGTGTTCCCACACCAGTGGGCATCTCTGGTTGCCCCCAGGCCAGCGGGCACTCCTGGTGGCACCAACCCTTGGTGGCACCAAGCTCTGGGTGTTCCCACACCAGTGGGCA